ACCCATACAGGAGAGTCTTAGGTGTTTTGAACTTGCCCCTCCCTTAAACTCCATCTTCTTGACACTTTCTCCCCACTCCATCCTAATGCAGCACCAGCTTTCTGTTCATCAAATGGGCATGTGGAAATTCTTGCATGCCACCATCCAAAATGCCTACATTAACTGCAGACTAGATACTAGAAGAGGAGTACAACATCTCTGATGCCCTCTTAAAGCCAAATACAAGAAAATATAGTTAGAATAACAGGGTAGATTTTCTTGAATTCATTTAGACTGAGTGGACTGATGATTGCCATCAGACAAATCCAATATAGATCAGTGACTGTCCTGTGCATTTAACCCAGCTAGGTCACAAAAAAAAAAAAAAAAAAGGGGGGGGTGTCTACTGTGCTATTATTCCCTTGAATACCAATATTGTACCTTCAAGTGTTCTTCCCAAAGTGTCAGATGTAGACAAAGATTTAGGGATAGATCTTTCTGAACATAAAGGCTATCCTGTCCTCACAAAATCTGTGTAACCCTGGAAACATCTTACATGAGAAGGGAAAACCATCAATTCCTTATGCATAGGTAATACTAACATATACCCAATTCCTTGCAATCTGTGAGCAACAAACAGAATCTTAAGAACACAGATATTGACAAGTAATGATAAAATATGCAACCACAGAAAAACAAAAAAAATGAAAAAATGCTTGAATAGATCTGTAAAGGGGATAAGAACCCCTCATACATTCCCAGTCTGTAAAAATAAAGAGAAACCAAAAGGCTTTTATTAGCATAGTGTTAGAAGGGGGATGCCTGCCCCATACAACTACTTTACATTTGTCCTTATTTGCCATATTTCCCCCTTATTTTCAGAACCAGAGCACTTTGTGAACAGCCAATGATAAGCAGGAATGTAAAAGTTGTCCAGCCTCTCCCTGGAAAAGTCTGACAGCAGGTTTGCAACAGAAATCTAGCCTTGTACTAAAACCAACACCCATCTCTGTGCTTTAGTGCTTTATCATCTAGTTTATTCTCAGGAAATTGGGCAGTGGGCAATTAAGATTTATAAGCTACATGCTTTCAGAATTATATCTTGGGGAAAGTCAAATCTAAATTAGATCAGCCCAGGCTTTTATGCTTCCAGCTTGTTCTTTTCCAAGCCAGCGCATTGCAATACAGAGACCATCTCCTCTTACACATCCTTTCCAAAACATCTCAGGGTCTCCTTGGGAAGAATCTGTTTGTCTATTGCCTTTGTTATTTGCACACGCATACACCCAATACACAGCCAAGAGCTGAAATGTTTTGATGAAGCTGAAAGACTCACTAAATATAGACCAAAAGGAATGAGGTGGTGTTTTTTTTTTTAATTACGGTAAATGAAATCTGATCATCCCAGATGTAAGCAGCTCAGAACACAAGGATGCCTTCCTCGTCTCTGATTTTGCTACCTTGGCCTGTCACATATCAGCACCCAAATAGTAGCTATTCTCCCTATGGCTCTCTCCTCAAGAGGAGCCATAAATTTCGTACAGGTACATTTATGTCTGATGTCAACACAAAAGTGAGAACTATAAAAAGCTGATGGCAGATATGAATAGAGGCATTTGGATTCTTGTTTTATAGCTTTGTTTCTATGGAAAAAAAAAAGATTTTTTTTTTAAAAAGGAGGGAATGTATGCATCTTTAGCATGATCATTCTGCATCCTGCAATGCATGAGCTAAGAATTTTCTTAAATGACAACAAATGAACGCACACGACAATTTATCCAACCTATTTATTTGTTAAAATAAAAGAAATATCCTCCTGCCAAGGAGCTAACACTCTGGATGATTTATATATATGTATCTGATGAATCTTTTAAAAGGAGTGCCTCATAGAGTTTATATTTTTAGCCACACAGACATCTTGATACAGAGATAGGAGATTTAAGCCCGCCTGGCCTAGTGGTTTGAGCTTTGGACTGTGCCCCTGGAAACTAAGAAGGGGTTGCAGACTGTCAGAAATAGTGCAAATTGAGTCCACTTTTAG